CAGCTCACTGATTCTGATGTGTCGGCAGGTCCGCGCTATGTGTTTATCTCTTTTTTGCGCTAGATTCTGAATCTGCAGGTTTCATCAGTCTCAAACCAAAATTGACTGAACCAGTAGCAAAAAACATCCAAACTACGCTTCACATTTTGCTTCACATAAACATCGTCAATAATTTCCTCGTCTTACTTTTGCTCCGACACAATAAAATCACACTTCATGTACAGCTCTCTCTTTCTCAGTGTGCTTTGAGAACCCATCTAAAAATCTGTTTCCTGCATTATTCGCTTGGTTACTGCGCACCATTCTACCGCTGTGTAGAGCGCTGTCGGCCACTGTTTTTTTTAATGACCTCCAACAAGAAAGTCTAATTTCTGCTGTTTAATACTGAAGAAATGTAAACTTTTTAAAATGATGCCAAATTGCAAACTGCTTAGCTGTGTTCCTAATACAATCTCTGTAACTTTGCTCTGCTTCCATTCAGCAGCATCACGTAATGTTCATATGTTGATTCATGGTTTTCTTCAGTTTTTAAACTACTGCAGAATATTTTTAAAGTTATCTGCTACAAAATCCCAGGCCAGGAAAATCTTCATGTTTTTCTGTGTTTTATCCTCAGTTACTTTGACACAAAGGCATCTGCTGTGATGTTCACACCTCTGATGAAGTCTCACAAGTGTCAGTGCTGACAAATGATCAGAATTATAATATTTCTGACTGTCTGAGGCAAAAAATTCCCCGAATCGAATCGAATCAAATCGGGACCTTGTGAATTGGAATCATATTGATTCTAGAAATCAGTGACCATACCCAGCCCGTAATTTAAGCTGTTACTCCTTTAATAAGCAAATCATCGTTGGAGGAATTCATAAAAAAAAAAAAAAAGAACAGAAGCATAAGTGGGCTAACTGCATCGGTGCATCCATTAAAACATGAATTCACCATGGCAACAGACTCATCTTTACTCAGAAGCTACTGAAAACTTTTGTTCTTTACATTTTTTAAATGGATTTATTTTTGGTCTGTTTGAGACGGTCTGTGTGTGTGAGCATTGTTACAGACTTTAATGGATTTGAGAGGATACAGCTTGAATCTCTTACTGAGAACAAACAAGAAGGCCATTTAAAAAGGGAAAGACCATCTCTGAATGGAGGATCCATGTGTGTGTATGTGTGTGTGTCTGTGTGTGTGGGAGGGTGGGTGT